CATGAGGAGGTAGCTGTGTGGGGATGAATTGTTTGAGAATGAATTGTTTGAGAATGTGATGGTTCAGTGGTTAGGTTGAGGTGAGAACATGATGGAACATGATGCTCTTCCAAAAAGAATCACATTTTATTCCACATGCATCTTTACAAAGCAAAACCGCTTACACGTTTCTGTCTGACGCGGCCTTAGTTATAGCTATAATTAAGAAATGGCAAAAATGTGTCAGCCATTTTTCTTTCTACAGATGCATGTGGACTGAAATTTGATTTTTTTTTTTTGGAAGAGCATTGTGTGCTGGTTTTGCACACAAGCTACACAGTATCTAGCATAGAGGACCGTGTTTGCACTAAAAGGGTCGTGTAGTGGGGGATTGCTTCTTCAAAATGAGTTCTGGGTATTTTCAAGGCTAAAAGACAAGAGATTGTCAAACAAAGGGCTTTAGGAGAACAGAACAATATGATTCTCATGGACATTGTCAGCAACACCATATTCTTGCATCACATGTGTGCCTGTAATTCATTTTTCCCCCATGTATCGTGGCTTGAATGCAGCAGCAGCACCCCAATCTGATTAATTTCAAATTGAAAAAATAATCATTTTTAGGTAGTTTTGTCTGCAACACCTGCATTTGTATCTAGCAGTAACAGCCCTGAATTGAGCAGTTTAAGTAGCAGACACAACCGATCTAAAAGATACAGAAAACTATTCTGTAAACTTTTTCAAATATTAAAAATAAATAAATAGAGCCAGAGCTTACAATTTCGTGACAATTGGCCAGTTCATAGTATAGCATGGAATCTTTTTGTATTACCACACTTTTTCAATTTTACTTTTAGTTTCTATTCTATTTTACTATTGTAAGTGTACTATATTTAAACGTGTGAAACAGAGTCCACAAGCAGGCTTCAAAACCACAATCCTACATTCCAGAGACGAGGTCATTTTGTCCTGCAATAAATATTAGAGTGTTTTATTTCACACTTGGAGTAGACCGCATTTTCAAAAGTACACATAGCATGCAGCTTTTTTTTCCAAAACACACATTAAATGGTTTCTATTTCACAGAAAAAAAGAATGGATATTTTACAGATTTCATAGAAAGTATTTAAACACTTGTAGTAGCCTCCATTTACAAAATAACACAGCATGCAGATTTTCATCCAAAAAAACACATTCAAGTGTATATATTTCACAGAATAAATAAAGAAATATTGTACAGACTGCAAAGCACTTTAAATAGGCTATTCTGGTTACCTCTATGAATTACGACAAGATGGTACATGGGTCCATAATCAGGAGCCTCTGACATGATGAAAAGAGACTGGAATCAAGGTGACGTGGACTCAGCCCCCTCTCAGTCTGCCCCTGAAGAGATGAAACCATGTCTGGTAAAAAAGCATGTCAGCATTTTGCCCGGGACCAATTGTGTAGGCTTTTGATCTCTTTGTGGGGGGGACTGGTGGTTCTGATTATTCACGGAATTCGAACATTGAGTAGAAGGGGTAGTGGTGACTGAGCTGTCACCATCACCAAGGTGAAGGACACAGGGCTAGATTATTATGACCACCCCATCAGTACTTCGTTGGGCCACGAGATGACTCCACGAGATGACTTCGTTGGGCTGCCTTGTGACTCCACGAGATGTTGAAAGGTGATGCGAGGAATCTGACACTGCACTGTTGCCCTTCTGTTGTCTTGTACCAGTCTTGCCACTCTCTGTTCTGCCCTAACATTGACTAGTCGCTGTCAGTCCAGTCTTTAAACACTTTAACAACAGCTGCTCTTGAACATTTAACGAATTCTGCTGTTTTGCTGATACTCGCTCCATGGCTCCGAGCGCCAACAATCATGCCACGTTCAAAGGCTGTTAAAACGCGTTGTTTACCCATATCTTCAGAAAAAAATCACTTCTACTGTCGTGGTAAACAACCTGCTTTCCTATTTATAATGGTCTGGCCCTCTAGCAACTTCAGAGCGAAATTATAGCTAATTATAGCTAATTTTGCTACAAACGTCAGGTGGTCATAATAATCTGGCCACTCAGTGTAATTTCCTTTCTCATGCATGCTGAACCTTGTGTCTGTGGTCATGTGGGCCTTTGAACTAACAACATGGTCCAGTTACATGGAGACATAATCTTACAGGGATAACCTTCTGGGTGAAAAATGGGTTTTGGAAGCCTACCACTGTCATAAAGTACAGTCCACAAAGGTTTGGATATGGTGGACTCCACCAGCTGAAATAGGAGCAGCTGTAACACCAGCAATTTGTTTTAGCTGGCATTGAGATGCTGAACATTGGAGTAATTGGGTGAATATTTTTTCTTTCACTCCAGCAACTGGGAAAGGGACACCTGCCTGGTCAAAGATGCTGCTTGAGACAGTGAGTTGGGGTTAGGAGACTAAAAAAAAGGTGCAAGCTGACCCCATTCTGACCCTTTTCCCCACTTGATGTGCAGTAAGGTAAGCCTCTCAAAACCCTTGTCAAAATTCCATTCCTATACCTTGAGGCTGCAGATGTTGCAGTGAATGCATATGGAGAATTTTGTGCATTGGGGAAAATGAGGTGGAAAGGAAGGAGCAGGGAGAAGTGTGGGCCCATGACAATAGGGAATGAAGATGTGATTCTTTGGTGCACTTAAAAATGTGGTGATTTAATGCACTAAACTAAACTGTACCGCACTAATATGCAGTCATGTGTTGCAAACAAAGGGCAGCTTTACATATGTCACCTCCCTAGTCACCTCCCCCTTCCAAAAAAAAAATTCCCCAGAAGATCCTAGCAAAATATAAATAAAATGTACTGCACTCAAAACAATTACATCTAAAACACTTAAATAAAAGCCTTTAATGCTAAACCCCAACCCTAACAATCTAAACCCTATATTAAAAAAGTAACACCCAATAAAAAAATGCAAATTTAGAGATATTGATAAATAACTGATACTGAAGAATGTATTGAATAAATTCCACTTTGAGGTGTGCAACTACCAGAAAGGGAAGAGGCTTAAAAGAAATATTATGACTCTCTTAATATATAAAAATAAGAAATATATTTATTAACATCACATATTCTAAAGTGTAATTAAAAAGCAATTTAAAGACATGATTGATCCATTTTACCACATGATAGTAATGTCACATCAATTTGACAATATAATATAATGGTTTTGGTAGAACATAGAAAATAGCTCATTCTGGTAACCTCGACATGTTTCGCCCTTCAGGGCTTCTTCAGGGGGAAATTATATGTCGTGGAGAAGTTCATCAAGGTTCTCGGTTGACCACAAAAACGCGAAGATGAGTAGAGACCAATTATATTCCCCTCAAACCAGACGAGAAAGGTAGCAGTAGGAAAGAAAAGATGTTGAAGGAACATTGCGGCGCCTGCAAGGAGTGCATCGGAGGACGGTCGGTCAAGCTGCGTTCCTACAACATTTTTTCCTACTGCTGCTGCCCTCGCTTGCTGGCTCTACAATCTGCTCCCGTGACAAGATCCCCCTCTGCGTGAGCTTTCTCGCCTGGTTTGAGGGGAATATAATTGGTCTCTCATCATCTTCGCGTTTTTGTGGTCAGCCGAGAACCTTGATGAACTTCTCCACGACATATAATTTCCCCCTGAAGAAGCCCTGAAGGGCGAAACATGTCGGGGTTACCAGAATGAGCTATTTTCTATGTTCTACCAGAACCATTATATTATATTGTCAAATTGATGTGACATTACTATCATGTGGTGAAATGGATCAATCATCTCTTGAATTTGCTTTTTAATTACACTTTAGAATATGTGATATTAATAAATATATTTTTTATTTTTATATATTAAGAGAGTCACAATATTTCTTTAAAGCCCCTTCCCTTTCTAGTAGTTGCACTCCTCAAAGTAGAATTTATTCAATACATTCTTCAAGAAATCTTAAATTGGGGTGTGAAATTTTACTCTCTTCAACGTATTTCATATGTAATACACGCCCACTAATGTCCACAAATAACTGATACTGGTTGGGAGTTTTTGTAGGGGAAAAATTAGGCCTCTTCCACTATAGTGATTGTTCCACCTCAGTTGAACTGTGTTGGGATAAACTAACTAATTAAAAAAAACTTTATGGTGGATGCTGACTCCATTACTCCAGATTTTATATTTCCTTTTTTTTTTTTTTTACATTTTCTTTTTATATTGTATGATGCATTCTGCATTTCTTTTTGCTGCTATTCATTGGACTCTTCCCTAAAACACATTCCTCCTTCTGACCTATTGTTCTTACAGACTTAATTTTAAGTTTTGGGAGACTTCCCTGAGACCAGACCTGTACCTTCGGTGGTTCCCCCTCACTACATGGTTCTCTTGTATAAGGTTCTAATGCCCTTGTATCTGACTGAAACCTTATCCTGATGTCATTATGATCTATAACCTGTCCCTTACAATTCTAGTTATTCTTTTCTAAATCCATAACTGACTCAGGTATATTGTATATTATACATTTTATGGGAGATAGTTTCTCTTCTCTTGTTTTTGGTATGGGAGATAGTTTCTCTTCTAAGTTTTATATTGCTACTCATTTAATTATGGTTTTATATAGGATAATGGCATTGTATTTAGTGTCTAGCATTATGGAGTATGATGTTTACATCTATAAGATCCATATGAATTCCCTTGAGTTGCTGGGGTACTAAAGGGTTGACATTAAGGCTACTCCATGATGGGCTTTGGGCATACTAACAAGTAAAAAAAAAGGTTGTTCTGATTGGACTTTTGTTACTAGGGATTGATGTAAAAGGAAGCAGAAGGGGTCATGGTCCCTTAAATGTGTTAGCTGAGGACATACACCTAGTCATCATGAAATGTTCAAAAATTTGAGGAAAATTACTTAAGCATGGCTGAAAAAGTGAATCTTTATTTACTTGCGAAACAATTGATGAAATAAAGCATTCCCCAATCCTCCAGTAGATGTTTAATACATTTATAACACATATAAAGAACATTATGACAGTAATTTGTGTTTATATACTAATATGCTTCAAATGAATGTCAAATGAGGAAGAGGATGGTAAATCCTGAAGTCTTCTCCAAAACCTGCATAGTGGGCATTGCTGTAATCTAGGGTTGGTAACAATAATGATGAAAGGGCTCACTGCAGAGTAGGCACAAGCTAGCACAACCCTGGCATCATTCATGTCTGTTTTGACATTTACGAGTGTCAGAGTATAGATCCACATAGAGTTATCCAGCCCCATGAATACCACATAGCATATAACCAGTAATATTACAGCTCTAGAAGCTTTATACTCAACTGATTTACTCTTTGCTTTGTTCAAGCTTCGTATGCTTTTTACAGTTTTCTCATGTCTGAGTAGCACATACACAATGTAAAAGCTTGCAAGAGCCATCATTGCAACAAAAAGAAAGTCTCTAGAGGCAAAAACAACCCCATTGGCAATATAAGATACATATGTTTGAAAATCAGTGTCACAGTAAACCAGATGCAGTGTGTATGGAGAAGTGTTATTACTTCTTGCATTGCCATACATAAAACTAGTGCGGTAAATGACTAGATTCATCAAAAGAATTCCAAGAATAATTGGTGATATATTGTGAGACACCTTTTGTTTTAAATAGACCCAGATCTTAGTGCTTGGGGCAATAAGGATACACTGATGACAGCTAAGCAAACTGGTGGTACATATAGACATAGCTCTACTGACTCTGTAGGTATATGCAGACATCTTGCAGTTTGTATTATCCATTAAGTCCTCAATTCCAAGAGCATTCAGTGACTGTGGGATGACACGAGAGCAGACAATGAGAAGATTTGCAAATGCTAAGACTAGCAGAATTATGTTGGATGGTAGCAGTCTCTTTTCTAACACCCTAATAAGGAAAAACTGGATTATAATATAAAGGTTTCCTGGAATACCAATCATAGTCAAAAAGATGAAGATAAAGGCCTTTAGAATTCGTATATCCATTCCCTTAAAGTAGCAACAGACCCCACCTGAAAATATAAAATGACACAGTGGTATTATTTTTAAACAGTTATAGTTGTCATATATCAAAGTTGTAAGATATTCGCATGATAAAATACAAGTAATTGTATAAGGGATGGTAATCCGCTCAAACATACTGGGAAGGCACTTAACTTTCCAAAGTAATGGCTGCAGTTACGTTAAAATGAAATCATTGTATGTAGTTAAACCAGGGCTAAAGTAAAGGTGTTGTTCCTGTGGAGTATCTAGTCATCTGATAATGGTGTAGACATCAAGAATATACAACATCTCTAGCATTGCTTCAGCATGCTAGCTATGTAGCTGTACAGCAATATGCGATAAGCAAAAAATTCTGCACTACTGATATAACATTTTATTTAGCAGTACAGCATGTTTAGTGTGTTTTCTTTTATATCATCTGTCAAGTGAAAATAATGTAAATAGTTGGTCTCGGGCTAACATATTAGAAAGAGATTTATTTAACCTGAAAGGAAACATTCCTCTTTATTGTAAGGAACTTTGCATCTGAAGTGCAATTTGAAAAGAGCAGAAATTAGATGCATGTAAATACAATTAGCAAAATTATTCAAATCACAGAGCTTGTTATTTTTTTTAGCTTCTTAAAAATGTACAAAAAAGTGATGTTATTTTAAAAGGTAATATCATTTGTAGCAGTGAAACATTGTGTAGTAACGGTCCCATGGATTTTTATGACCATGTCGACTTTAATTATTGAGATTAACTTAGGATATATCAAATATGTGAACTATATGAAAAAAATATCCCATATAATAAACAGATGTAGAGCATATAGCGGGCACATGTTCATACCACTGTATCAATTCACAGGTGTCTCTCGTTATTTATTTGAAAGGTAGTTTGCCTTTGTCTGCAACAACACAAACAGAGGAAACAGTCTGATTAAAGTCTAACTAATTCCACTCAAAAATGTTATATATTGATTAGAGGTGCACCGAAATGAAAATTTCAAAACAGAAACTAAACCAAAATTTAAAAAAATGTCAGGTCGAAACCGACAATGTTTTTATTTGAACTTTTTCAATTTTTTTTCAATTTTATTGTTATGTATTTGTATAAACATTTACATTTTTTATTATTATTTATTTATTCACGTTTGATTAAATATTTTAATTTTTTACTTTACTTTTATGGGCTTTGGGCAAATATTAGGGGTCTAAACAGACCCCTGATATTTCCCTTTTAAAATAGAAAAAGAGATTGAACACGCAGAGTCCTCAATCTCTTTTTCTGCAGCCCCTGTTATAAATGAACAGGAATCCTCTATACTGAGTGTTCCTGTCCATTCATAACATGAGAACATAGTGTGTTTACTATAACCACAATCATAAATGAGCAGGAGGTGATGTGGATCACTTCCCATTCATTCATAATTGAGGCTATAGTAACCATACTATGTGCGCTGGCCGTCTCCTCCCACACTGCTGTCTCTCTGATATGTGACAGGAGGCTGAGTGATGCGGGGAGGAGAGACGCCGGCCACTGACAGAGCTTTCCTCCCACAGCACTCGGCCGCCTGTGACAGTTTCTCTCCTCCCCGCTGGGACACAGAGCAGCACCCAGCGGGGAGGAGCGAAAAACGGATGCACCGCTCTATTTGCCAGAAAATGGCAGTTTCGGCATTATGCCAAAAGTGCAATTTTTGGCTCATATATTTTGGCGGCCGATATATCGGTGCATCCCTAATATTGATTTATAATCCTTAGATGAGGTTCCTTTATTATTTTTAAAGCTCCCCGTTTTGTTTTTTTTAAAATAATATTTATTTTATTCCAAACAAACAATTATACATTTGCCTTATATCCATAAAAAAATCATATGTATATCATACCCATGCTATTTCCCACTTCGCTTCCCCCTCTCTTCCCAATCTTTCATTATTTATCTGTTCTAGTCATATCCTTTTACACTTACATTGATATTATCACCCCTCCACTAAGTACCTGAATAAGTGTACATAAACATTTGGATGTACAAGATAGTGTATGCCATATATCTCTCAGAGAGAGAGAAAGGGGGAGTGCTCTTCTATGTCCCACTGCTCTAAATCCAAGAGCTCCTATGTATGCTTTTTACATTTAATAATAAACAACCAACAAAACAGGACAATACAAGACAACACCAGCCAAGCAAAAAAACCCACACAAATGGGGGACACTCTAGAAGTCCAATCTCTATTTAAATTAATCCTCTTTTCCAAGAAATCCACACAAGCTGGGTGAGGTTAGAAATCCCCTCCATGTGCCCCATATTGTTTCATAGACCTGACTGGCCTCATTAAGCTTAGCAGAAAGTTCTTTCATGCGGATTAGGTGATTTACTTCTATTATCCAATCTTTAATGGCAGGTATCTGTGATGAATTCCACAGTCTGTGTATGGGAGCGCGGGCTGCCGTTACAAGAAATCTAAGTACCTCCTTCCTAACTGCCCCCCCATTTTTTTCACTTGGTAATCCTGGAAATAGCACACTTCCTGTATGTTAGGACATTACTGGGTGACTACATTCAGTCCTTAACTGTATCTATGAAGTATCTGTAAAAATAACACCTCTCTCTGGGCAGGTTATGAACACCTCCTAGATTCCAATTATGCAAATGAAATCAACACCTGGTTGCAACTAACAGATTATGTGGATTGGAGCAATATTCACCATATTTATTCCCAGATAATTTTTTGTATAAGTCATTCTGAATTGAGAAAGCTGGTTGGATGACCAGTGAAACATCTTCAAGAAGAAAAATACAGCAAGCCCAATTGCCTTGACTTACTTTTTACAGATATACCATGACCTGGATGAATGAGAACCTTCACACACAGATGTATCTAGGAAGGGAGCCATGATTGTCACCAGCCTGAACTTCAAACATATGTGCCTTTGCTTATCTACATTACATTAGGGCTGATAGGTTGACCAGTTTTCACAGAAAAAAATAAAGTTGTTTGTGCTTTTTTGATAAGCTCACAGGAAATGACAAGGACATTGGATTTCTAGAAAGATTTTCTGTAGTTGCTGAAAACTTTCTTCTTATTCTTGCCAATGAGAACTCAGGTTGGGGGAAGCGGGGGAGTGTTATTAAATATCTGGGGCACTTCATGGTACATGATCTTTCCAGCAGGGTTTTGCCCTGAGAGAATAGCTTAGGACCTAGGAACCTGTAAAGCTGCAAGGAACTCCCCTACTGGGAGGTGCCCTTAAAGATATTGGGCCTAGAAGAAGCAGACTGCAGTTGTCCCCACATAGAGCCAACTCAGTCACTCTATGTGCAGTTACCCCCACATAGAGTGACTGAGTTGGAAAAGCAACACAAGATAATTTCCATTGCTGTTCTGTCTTGAATTCTAAGACTGAGATACCACACCTATCGGTATCCTGTGCTGCCTCTACTCTCCCTCCTATTCATACATGTACTAGCTCAATAAAATCTTTTAAAAATCAAAAACAAAGTGACTGGTGCCCATTATTCTGAACATCCAGAGGATCAGAACTGCAGCTTGAGAAAAATGTGCCTGGAACATTTAGTAAGTAGGACTGGGGCATTTGTAATGTAGCTATTGGGTAGGTGAAGAGTCGTATTCCTTGGAATTATGCATGTCTGGTTATCTTTATTGCTAGAAGTGTAGCCCCTAATTCCAGCACCGAAGAGTTTGAGGATGTCTTTTGAAAATGGAATTGATGTTGGATTGTGGACTTTTAAGGTAACAAAAATGCTATTAGGATGAGATTTGCCAGTGAGTGAAATTACGGCATTGATAACTACCCTTTCCAAGACCATAGGCATGTATACAGGGTGTGCCAGATGTGCCTTGGCACACCCTAATCACCCCGAGTGCAACACCAAAACAGCAATAGCAGGCATTGTGTTTTTAGTCACTGGGCCGGTGGAGAGATCACAAAGACACATCTGTGACTGGCTCAGCAATACAGAGTGCAGCAGCACTTGGCACTTACATTCCTCACACAACAGCCGCAGTCCCCAATGCCTGGAAAGCTGCGATGGTGTGTGGCTGTGGCTTTCCAAGCTTCCCATCAAATCTGGTAGTCGGGTGGGTGATCCAGGCTACTGCCGGGCTCCCTGGTTCATTACTGTACCTCTGCTAGAAGAGGTAAGAGACAGGAATACAGGATGCCTCATGTATGATATATATATATATAGCATAGACTTATATGCGTGTGTGTTTGTACTTTTGTATGCAATAGGCTACATACATATACTGTATATCTAAGACCTTTTGACCTTTTGTTCAGTACATGTACAGTACATATTAGATATTATGCCTAGCCTTGGACCCTGAAATCTAGCAGCCCTTTTTTACAGCACTCCAGACCTTGTAAATGTCTTTTTCCAGCAGATATAAATTACTTCCATTTTGCATTTGAATAACTAAAACCATATAAAGGTACAGAGGAAAGCAAACAAAATTCCCTTGCCAATAGTCACCAGTTTTTCCATATAAGGAAAAACAGATTTCATATTGGAGGGGTCCCAATGGTAGTTTAATTAAAGTGGGCTGCCCTAACACAATGCATGCTAACACATGAACCAACACGTGTTAATGTGTGTGCATTAAGCATACCACAGAGGACTGAAATAATGTGAACAGGCCATAAAACACATGCACTAGAATACAGTTCAATAGTTATTATAAACAGTATATGTATGATACTTCACTTTGGAGGTTCCAGCGTTATGTGCTCAGACTAGTACAAATATAATTAAAGATTAAACACAAAAGTTGTCCTAACTCCAAAATGCACATGGGCATGCTAAAACATTAATTCATTTCTCCCGAGAACCAGCAAAAGCCCAATCTTATTTTTATATTTACATTATTTACCAGCAGGTGCAGAAAAGGGTTGGCATTGAAATGTACAAAACTGGAAGAATTGTAAATATAAAATGTGCAGTGAAACTTTAAATTGTGTTATTACATCACTAACAGA